CCCCAAAACCCCAAAACCCCAAAACCCCAAAACCCCAAAACCCCAAAACCCCTATAAATAAAAACAAATAGGAAGATTTTATAAAATAATAATTCAAAATGTGCTGAATCATGTGCTATTTCCCACCTAAATGAGTCAAGGTGGCCTTGTTCTTCGTTTCCTTCTTCCTAATCGTAAGTTAATCATGCTCATCAGCTTATAGGCTTGTGGAGCCGTTTCAATATGGTTCGCAGTTGAAGCTAAAAGTCTGTCAATTTATGGAATCATTGGAGCACTTGCCGGTTTCGACCTTCAGCAAATTCTGTTCCTCGTCTTCCTTATTTTAGGATGCTTCCTGTTCTTTGTATGTGTGTGTGGAGGCTGCATTGCTCTCAAGAGATATTGCCTTGTGCATTGCTGCTTTGCATTCATGGTTACTCTATCATTCGTAGTCTTCTTAGCAGCAGGAATTGGACTCATTGTTATTACATCAATAGTTGCAGACGAGATGGAGACAGCCTGTGATTCTACAAGTGAGAATTCAATCTCAGAATCTTTCAGAGAACTGTACACTAATTCTGATAGTTTTTACTGCGTCAGTTCGTCTAGTGGGTGTGAATGCTATGTTAACTCCACTCGTTTGAGTGGAACTGGATATACCATGGTAAACTCATCTTCAACTGTAACTAAAGTACAACAATGTACTAGCTATCTTGAGAGTGCATACGCTGATTATGGAGTCGACTTCAGTGATATTAATGATATTATCGAATACTTAGACTACTTCGGAGAAATTGAAAAGGACTATAAATGTTCTGGAATGTGTACCATCAAGAATAAATACTACTTCTCAGACATCAACATAGGAGCTCCAGAGAAGACATGCTTCGATGTGATCAAGGACGACCTCATTCTTGGAGATGTCAGAAATTATGGAATCGGTTATACAGTTTCAGGCTCGATACTCTTCATAATCTTTTTCATCCAATACGGACTCTGCTGCAGGAAGAACATGAACGCCAGGCAAGGACAGACGAAGCAGTTCTAGAATGCTTCGATAATATTGGCTTGATATTTAAGTTATCAATTAAATCTTAGTTTTAACCTGTGAAATGTCCATATCTTGGCCCATCTGTGGTGGGCCAAGTTCCTACTCTTTTGGTGTATGCTCTAGTTTCTGTCACTCAAAATCCTTCCAGAAATGGAAGTATTTTCGAGGGCTCACTAATAGGCAGATTTGTGTTAATATTTTATTTCTCCCGACAGTTACAACTTGGAAATTTGAAGGTCCGGTCAGATGTTAGTTTGATTCATTTCATCAGAAATTTTTGAGATTGAAAAATTTGATAAAAATATCAAAACGCTTTTTGTTTAAGGCCCCTTTGGTGAACGGAGGTTGGGCAGCCAGGATTGGCCATGGGCGGGTTTTATGCGTTGGTGAGATAGCTGGGCATGAGTCAAGTTATGTGGGCTTAGAAAGTGTAACGGATTTTAGATAGATTTGCTAATTTTGAAGGTTTTACTAGCTCTAGATGGCTTTAGACATGCAGAAAAGCCTTACTTTGGCTTTCGTGTTGGATTAACATTATCTATAAGAAGTAGAGAAGCTAATCTCTAAAGAAAATTGGAATCTTTGGTAGTCTTAGATAATTTTTAAGGTAATGTGAGAGACATACCCTAGTTTGTGTTGAGAAAATTAGCCAGCTAAAGTGGACATCCTTGCTTTGCTTTTTACAATTCTAAAAATTGTTCTTCATATCAATTAGTGTTCTTTAAATTTTTGTTATGTTGATTCTCAGCTCGATACCCCGGACTGCTGAAGTTGAGATAATATACTTCTACATTAAGTCTGAAACCTTATTTCTACTAAAATTAAATTGAGAATTTACAGGCTCAGAATTGCTCTAAACAAGGCCTAATTTTTTATGGGTAGGTGAACAAAAGCAAAATATATCAGTTTATGGCTCAAATCAGAAACAGAAAATTTCTAAAACCACCTCTTCTATTACGCCCTAGGACATTTCTACACTCCAAGCTTCTCACTTGATGAATGAGGTTTCTGTCGCAATGAATCATGAATCAAGAGGGCCAAAAGGGGCATATTCCTAAGCTTGAGCTGACATAACCCGGTTTATGCTTTCTACTTCTCATTATAGCTGGTAGGTTATGATATGTAAAAAGATTTCATTTACACAGAAATTATTTGAGAAGCTCCTCTAATCCTCTTTGTTTACTAGCCGCATGACCCGTGAGATATTGCTGGTGACGAGTGTCACTAGTTACCCAAGTCTCACTGACAAACTATACTTATCTTCTCTCCTCAACTAGTGAGAGGTTATTAGGAATTTTTTGATAAAAGAGGCGGAAAATATGGAGCTTCGAGCTGGAATTTTCATGTATCTGTTTTTGAAATTATTACGAATGTTTGATATTCATATTTTCTACAAAGTCTCTTAACGTTCATTGTCAAAATGTATGGGCAGACATGGTGATCGGACTTATGATTTTGGAGAGAGTCGCCTTAGAGAAATTCGGGATAAACTAATTCATGCATAATTTCTGACCCTAAAGTCTGTCTATTGGATAGGCAAGAGGTCATATTTACAACTTATAGAATTCTTCAGAGCATTTTATATCCAAATTCTTGTCATGAAATTTTAGAAAAAGGTAACTCAATTTAGCTAAAATGAAGCAGCTTTTCCTTGCTGAAATTCCTATCTTCTGGGAATTCTTTTATGGCAGCATATTGCTCATCGTACAGAGAAGATATTGATATGATCAAGAAGGCTCACAGCTCATGATTCTTCCAAAATTATATTAAATTTCGTCATTATCTAGAGATCTGACAGCATTCGTCGGTGAAACCCAACTTCATTTGAATCTTATCATTGCACACAATGAATGATTACGAGACTTATTATTTTAGAAAGATTATGAACCTCACCATTATGGTGTGACTATTTTTGAACCAACAGCTAGGCTTGGCACCTTCATAGAGCAAGATTTAGAGATCTGAAGGATCTATACCTAATTCACTGCATTTTCATGCTGAAGATAGATGAATAAAAATCTCTAGCAAAGAGTCTCAAACCCATGTGCTTTCTTACAGCACTCTGGCGCATACTAAGTCCTCTCAAAAAATGGAGTGAGACCACAGCTGATTACATCAGTACCCAAGCCTGTTTATACATCAGTGTACAACTTGGCTGCTTCTTCAGCTTGCTCTCCCAAGATTGTATAGCTAGTAATGCTGACTTTATAAGACTTTCAAGTAGTTCTAAAATTAGTGTCTAAATTATCCCAAATCATGGTCAATATTAAGGCTAAAATTAGCCTTCATTTCTGGTTGATTCTAGTGGTCAGCACCAGGTTACAGAAGTAGGCCAAGACAAATCCCCATTAGAACCAATGTTCAAGTTTAATATTATATATGGGGTTTTGGGGTTTTGGGGTTTTGGGGTTTTGGGGTTTTGGGG